ACTCCGCAGGACCCACCAGCAGCCCTCGAAAGTGGCGACACTTTCGCAGATCGCAGCCCCCCAGGGACGGCGAGGTCTCGCTCAGATCTGCGCGGTGCCTCACTCCGCAGGACCCACCAGCAGCCCTCGAAAGAGGCGACAGTTTCGCAGATCGCAGCCCCCCAGGGACGGCGAGGTCTCGCTCAGATCTGCGCAGTGCCTCACTCCGCAGGACCTACAAGCAGCCCTCGAAAGTGGCGACAGTGTCGCAGATCGCAGCCCCCATCGTCGGCGAAGAGAGGGCAGGAGGAGGCGGGAGGAGGAGGAGGAGGAGGAGGAGGAGGAGGAGGAGGAGGAGGAGGAGGAGGAGGAGGAGGAGGAGGAGGAGGAGGAGGGACGCGACCACATTGCTCTATTCTAAACGAATGCCCAACCAAGGAGGGTTGGGAAGAAGGAATTCCCAGAATTCCCGTTTTTTTTCAAAGTGGGACTCCGACTCGGAGATCCCCCACATCCCCTGACATCTGGCCGGTACCGCGTCTCCCTGCTTCCGGGACGACCCCAAGGAGCCCCCAGAACGCAAAGAACGGCCCAACACGCTCCCGCGCAGCCTGAGACACCCTTCCGACGGCTCTCCAGGCCTCCAGGAGGCCTCCAGAACCCCCAGGGGGTCCGGAAACCACACCCCTGAGGGGCCCGGCTAACAAAACCCGCGAGGCGCAAACAAAAACAGCGCCGAACAGCGCCGAGGAACTGGACAAAAATTGGCATCCCACAATTCCATTTTTTTTGTTTTTGTTTTTTTTGTTTTTCAAGTTTGGCCCCTGGTCTACTCTTGCACAACAGACCACAATTCAGACCCCCTCACCTGCCCCCAAAAACCCAGGAAGCCTTTGAGGGCCTCAAATCGTTGAATGCTTAAAGGAAAATAATTCATGATTTCTGCGTTTCCGTACTTCCCCTTCTATACGATTCCGAGGCTTGCGCAGGGCGTCCAAGGGAGTCCCTGGACGTAGGAAGCGACCAAGCCTAGCTACGACTGGGGGCTCGGGACCGCGACCTCGAGCGCGCATGGGGGTACCGGGGCCTCTGCGGCGCCCCTGGGACGGCTCCCGAGGGCGCCGGAGGCCGCCAAACAGATCAAGAGGGCGCACGAGCCTCGAAATGTAGCTTGAAGATGCCGACGATGGCTCCAAGAGGGCTCCCGGGAGCCCCCAAAACAGCCCAAGAGGGCCCCAAGAGCCCTCCCAAGAGGGCCCCAAGATGCAAAAATGGCCCCGTCCCCGTCGGAAAACGTACATTTTTCAGGGATTCGCTTCTTGCCCTTCCAGGGGAACGAAGACGGCCCGAGAGGCCGCCAGGATCGCTCCAAGACAGCCCAAGAGGGTTCCAAGACAGCCCAGAAGGGCCCCTGGCTAGCCCAAGAGGTCCCCAAGACGGCCCAAGAGGGACCCAGGACGGCCCCAAGCAGGGGCCCAGAGAGGATGCCCTACGAACATTTCAAGCCCTCCGCCCCCAGAGGTCCCAAGGAGGCCCCCAAAGGCCCCCAAAACGCCCCAGACGAACCTGGCCTCCCAGAGTTTCCGGAGGCTTCTCCAGCGGAGATCCACGCGGGGGGGAGGGAGAAGGAAGAGGAGGAAGGGAGGAGGAGCAGGGCGAGGAGGAAGAAGAGGGAAGGCTGAGCAGGAAAGGTGCGCAGAAGGACGAGGGGAGGAAGGGCGAGGAAACGAGCATAGGCGAAGAGAAGTGAACACTGAATAACGAGGATGTGAGAAGAAGCAGTGGGATCCCCAATTCGGCCAAGAGGCCCCCAAGAGGGGCCCAAGAGAGCTCCAAGACGGCCCAAGAGGGCCCCACGACATCTCATCAGAGCCCCAAGACGGCCCAAGAGGGCTCCGAGAGAACCCCAAAAGGCTCCCAAGACAGCGCCAAGGGGCCCAGAAGACGCCCCCAGGAGAGCCCTGGAGGGGTCGTGGTGGTGATGGCTGCAGTTGGCTTCAGTTCGTGCGCCGATTGTGGTCCTACCGACGATTAGGATGGTCGTGGCGGTGGCACTTGCCGTGGTGGTAATGATATCGTGGATTCGCAGCAGTGGCAGTGGCAATGGTAGTGGTATTGGTGGCGGTACAGGCAGAGGTTGAACCAATGGCCGTTATAGTGGTCGTGGACAGTGCGATCGTTGTGGCTGGGGTGGTCATGCCCAGAATGGACATGGAATCAGACACGGTCGTGACCGCGGTGATGGCGGAAAGGGCGGTGGTAGCCGTGGCGGCATTGGCGGTGTTGAGCGTATATATATATATATATATATATATGTATATATATGTATTCTTGCCTCTCTCTCTCTCTCCCTCTCTCTCTATGTATATGAATAACAAATATGTCTTAAATGGTTAGCCCATCCCGCTGCTGCTTGGATGCCTTTTGGGGGGCTCGTGTGGGGCCTCTTGGGGCTTCCTGGGGGCCTCTTGAGGGCCTCTTGGGTCCTCCTGTGGGCCTCTTGGGGGCCTCCTGGAGGTTTCGGGGCCATTTTGGAGGGGGGAAGAACTCGAAATATCATTTGGCCCTTCTCTTTGGCTCCTGCCATCCTTCCCTTTCCCCGATGTGGTGCAGACTCGGCGCAGTGCCGCTTAAAATTCAATGCTGTGCGCTCAAAGTTTTGATCGGCCAATCGAACGCCCCACGATTGTCGCTCGAGTGTGTCGTTGGTGGGGTAGACGTTCCGAAAAAAAGGCCCACCTGAGGGGTGCAAAGGCCGCGCGCTCGGTTTCCGATCGCAGCGGCAGGCCGGAGGCCCCGGCTGTGCTAGACTCGCGCGCATCGCGCGCATTTGAAGCATGAGCACGGGACACGGTGCCCAAAAGTGTGCAACATGAATCCATTCCGCAGCTGTCGTCCCCTGTGGAACGTCATGAGCTCGTTTTATCTTCCAGCGACGACGGCCGTTACAGGGGTGAGGGGCTCGGTTGGGAATGACTTGGGACGACGACGACGACAGCGACGACGACGACGTCGTCTGGAAGCTTCCGGAGGCGTCCAGAATTGCACATGGGAATTGTGAGTGTGTGTGTGTGTGTGTGTGTGTGTGTACAGGCACTGGTGTACACGGGCATTGAAACTTCGTGGTCCACACCTTCTGCTGCCGCAACATCTGCGGTGTACACGGACACTGTGGTGAACACGAATGCTGTGTTGTACATGGCTTCTGTGGTATGCACAGGGATTGTGGAGTACACAGGCATTGCGGTGCGCACATATGCTGGTACACAGGCTTGGTGGTATACACGGGCTTGGTGGTGTGCGGAATCACCATCTGCGTACATTGGTAAGGTTGTTCACGTGGGCTTTGTGGTTTACACAGTCGCTGTGGTGTACAAGTTTGCTGTGGTTCACGCGCATGCTGCTGCAATATTTGTTGTGTACAGCAGTCACTGCGGGCGCTGAGGTGTACATAGGCAGCATGGTTTACACATTGTGGGCCCAAACTGCGGGGTACTTCGGATCAGAAACATCAATTCGCGCATCGCTATCTCTAGGGAAGTTGATACATTTGGGTTACCTACAACTTTTTGTGCTGAAGCAGCAGCTGTGGTGCACATTGGCGATGGGGTGTACACAGGCATTGCTGTGCAAACCGGTTTGTGGTGCACACGGTCGTTGTCTTGTTCGCAAGGTTTGAAGTGTAGTTACAAAAGCTTTCTGGTATACGCCGTCACTGTTGTGTACACAATCATTGTGGTGTACACAAGTATTGCGGTGTTCACTGTTCCTCAATCAGAGCTTGCCTCTGTAGGGGTCCTAGCGGATTCATATGGTCAGGTTAGGTTTGCCGCCGATTTTCGCAGCACGCCCGGGTACCCGGGTGCCCGGGGGTGCCCGGGTGCCCGGGTGCCCGGGTGCCCGGGTGCCCAGGCGTGCCCAGGGGTGCCCGGGTGCCCGGGGTTGCCCTATAGCCCTATAGCCCTACAGCCCAATAGCCTTATAGCCCTGTAGCCCATATAGCCATATAGCCATATAGCCTAATGGCCCACAAGCGCCCAAGAGCCCATATAGCCGTGTAGTCTTATAGCCCTACAGCCCCAAAAAGAGTATGATTAGGGCTTTTCTCCAGTATCATATCGTGAGGTTCGGTTTGCCGCCGATTTTCGCTGCACGCCCGGGTGCCCGGGGGTTCCTGGGTGCCCGGGTGCCCGGGCGTGCCCGGGGGGTGCCCGGGTGCCCGAGGGTGCCTTATAGCCCTATAGCCCTATAGCCCAATAGCCCTATAGCCCTGTAGCGCTGCTTGAGGTTTCTCTCCGGAATCATTGTGTACACAAGCATTGCGGTGTACACAAGTATTGTGGTGTGCAGGCAGCGTGGTGTAAACTTGCATTGCGGTGCGCACATGCACTGGTCTGCATAGGCATTGCTTCGCACAATGGTGTACACCGACAATCAGTTGTACACAGGAATTGTGGTATATGAAGGAACTGTGGTGAATACAGGCATTGTTGTTCACGTTGGCCGACTTGTCCGTGCAATCGCTGATGTTCACAGGCGCCGTTGTGCACGGAGGGTCCGCGGGCATATCGGGGCGCGCAAAGGCGCTACGTCCGCTGATCATGGTTACTCTCAGCAGGCCCTTGTGCTGTGCTTAGCCGTCCCTGGCAGAGCCCCGCTCACATGCTAATCCTAGTTGTCCTTAGCTATTTCTAGGTAGGCATTCCCAGACGGCGCCGGCGCGAAACGTGACGTGACCACGGCACGGGGGGGGGCGGAGCCAGCAGCGGCCGTTCTTGCGGAACGTCTAAAACCGTTTTTCAAGGCGCACCCTGGTCTTTCCCTTTTTCCCTCCCCCTTAGGAGCGTCGTTTCGTTTGCGTGTGTGTGTGTGTGTGTCTGGTGTGTGTGTGTGTGTGAGAGAGACATCCGCGAGCTGCAAAAGACCTCCCTTCCCCCTATGGGGAGTGGAGACGAAGTATGTAATGCTCTCTCCCCGCCCGCTCCGTGCCGCCGCCAGCTGCCGACGCCGTTGCCCCGCAGCAGCCGTATGAGGATCAAGAAAGGACCGCGCGGCGCCTGGGCGCGGGAGAAAAGGTGAGAGGGGTTTTTTTGTTTGGTGTGTGTGGTTTTCGCCTACCTATTATTCCCTTTCTCTCTGTATCCATATCAGTGGTCGATGGATCCATCATGAGCTTTGAGACCCATGACGTACCAACATCAATCAATCCCACTCTCGCTGGGAGTCGTGATTCTCTGGCGAATGATTGGTTTTCCGCCGAAGTAACCTAAAGCATCAGTGATGGACCGAACGCGTCGACGATTGACGTCAATTTCAACGAGGCGATAGTGCATATGGAAAATACTCGTGTTTGCGTGCGAGAGCTTGTCGTGGGCAATTTGATTGGCATTCCCCCTGGTGTGCAAGTTTTGCGGTACAAGACGTTCCTTTTATCCCTGCCATGGGCCGGGGTCCAACGTCCGTGATTTATCTGCGATGCGAGAAGACATGGGCGTCAAATCCGATATTTCATTTATCAAAAGCAAAGCGATTCACGCAGTCTCCCAGTCAGATCGTGAAAGAAGTTGCACGTGCGAAACACCTGCGCCAAAACGTCACAAGACACCCATAGATGAAACAATGGATATGCGTTCCCCCCGCGTGGTTTCTGAAGCGACAGAATTTCCGTTCAAGCACGGATATTCGACCTCCTATTGGAAACCGCAGTCGTGGGCCATTCCCTACCCCGATTTTGCCTCGCCGCTATAGCGGAGTCAACGTCGCTTTTTCTTTTTAGACTGCGTCCTAATTCCAGGGGCGGCGTGGAATCTTGCAGGGCGTCTTCAGCAGATATTTCAGTCAAAGACAAATGCCGGGCCGAACTGCCCTGGCGTTATCCCGCTGTAGATGTCCTGGCCAGGCGCGCTGGCCAGAAGGATCATGCCAGCGGCCCGTTTGCGCAGGATGCTCGCGTACCTATCCACATTGCAATGTCAAGTGGCTATGCTCCGAATGCCTGGATATAGAAGAACACTAGTGCCATCGCATTGCATTGATGGAGTGGCGGCGGGCAAAAGCGGAGAAGAAGTTGGTGAATGAGGAAGAGTCGAGGGAATATCTGACTGCAGAAGTGCAGGCCGCCATGGCTGAATGGGGCGAACATGTTTGGATGTGGCCTTTCAACGTGCAGCCAGACAGGCGCAGCTGAAGAAGACGGGTACTTCGGAAGCAGCCCGCAGACCTTTGTCAGAGTCTGAGCAACGCAAGGTGGGGTCGAATAACCACCCGGCCGAAAATTCCGAGAGGGAGAAAGCACCGAGAGGAAGAGGCGCTGGTTGCGAAGGAGGAGCGCGTGCAGCAGATGGTGTATCTCGCTGACCAAGAGGTTGGAGAATCTCACAGTCGGCAGAGAACGTGTTGTTATAGAAGAACAGCGCCAGGCCGCTGCCGTGATGCAGCCTGCGAGGGGCGACGCCAGCTCGATGGTGCATCAAATGGGCGCCCGGGAACGCCGGGCTGTCCATCGAGCAGAACTGGCGAAGACAGAGCTGCAGCTGGTGACGATCTCACGCGTCAGAGAGAAGCGTGCCATAATCTGTCAATGCTTTAAGAAACCCGTCCATGGCTGATCCCGTCGCTGCCCCGGCTGCTATGGCGACGCATGAGAACTTGTCTTATTCAGGAAGTGGCTGGATGAGCGGAACGGTGTCTGCGGTTCAGCTTCGCGGGCCCGGGCCCCCCCCGCCGCGCCCCTGAAACAAGACCGCAGCTGCGCGTCGCGACGGCCTCGGGTACTCCGGTGCCATGTCGTTTTTGCAGCGGCGCCAAGATGGCAAAGCGCGCCCAATGTCCTGCGCCGTGCTGCAGTGACCGCCTGGATCTTGTAACGAGACGCTGCAGACGCTGCGCTCGAAGCAAAACCGAGGCCGAGGCAGATGCAGAGAGAGGGCGCCAGGAAGAAGAGCACTGGCGTTCGCGACGTCGGGGGGAACAAGGGCGCGCGACAAACCTCGTCATTTAACAGTGCGAGATCTTGAAAGGAACGCGAAGAATGGGGGAAGGCCCAACATGGCGATTCAATCGAAATCGTGACCAAACCGTCTGACTTGGCAGCGGTGGAACATGCGCAGTCGGAGCAGGCGGGGGGCCCGTTCAAAACAACCCCGACTTTCTCTGAGTTTGTCAAACCCACCAGAGACCCCCCGGGCAAATTGCCCACTGCCTCGGAAGACAATTCTGGCCACCAAATCATTCCGACGGCTCAGCCGGCGGAAGAGGCGGCGGCGGGGCGGGCCTCCCGGGGGGGCGGTGTGTGTGTGTGTGTGTGTGTGTGTGTGCGCGTGTGTGCGGGGGTGGGGGGGGTGGCGGGGTGGGGGGGGTGGGGTTGCGATGTATATGTCTGTCTGTATGTATGTATGTATGTGCATATATATATATATATATATACATATATTGGGAGGGGGGGCGATGGGGAGGGCGACCGAGGACCATTCGTTTATCCTATGGTGCCCTGGATGGAGATTGGCAAAACGTCGGAGATCAGATTGATGCCAGTCCCCGATGCAATTGCATTGCGCGAATGGAAATTGCGCGTGACCTGTGTGATTTCATCCGTTTCGTCAGAAGCGTCTGGCAGTTCGCCGTGGGTTGCTCGGGCCATGGGCCTAGGGGTGCATGCGAAAGTCCCGCGTGCGTCGGGCAAATGCGAATGCGTTGACTTGCTCAATGCTTCTGCCCTCGCAGAGAAGTTTGCCATGGGGAGACGGGGTAAGGGTATGGCCCCTCATCTAATCTCGTGGCCCAGGGTGTCCCGAGTGGAAGTTGAGGCGCGCGGCGAGTCCGCTTTACTTACAAGCTGTCATATGGTACGCTGGACATGTCGATGGCTCTCCATGCGCGCCGACAGGGGCGGGAACGTGGTGGTAAGAGGCATGTTCGAAGTTGGCGTTGATCGGAGAAACCAGATGAGGATCTGTGCAATTCTACAATGTGTTGATGGCTGTGCGCAATAATATACGTCGCGGCTCAAACCCATCTCCGGAAGCCGCAGCAGCTGCGCAGCCGTGAACAAGTTATTACGCAATCAACGCGACGATCGTAGTGAATGATCCGCAGACTGCAACGACCAAAGAGGATCATCAAGTGCTATTCGCCTTTCACTGTTCGCAGCGTGCGCAGGCGCGCGCCATGGGCCAGGTCATCGACATGCCGCGCTTTGGCTTGCGCGGCCAGTGGCAACATTGGGAGGTGGACGCCGCTTGCTGCCCGTGTGATCTTCCAAGTGAATATTCCGCAGGGCCGCTGGTGTGGGCGGTCCCGCGCTCAGTCTTGCGGTTTCGTTCCCGCCAGCCGGATAGCTGACGTGCGGCGCGCAATGCAGGCGGGGCGCTTTTCCGTGACATTGATAGGCGGATGTCGCTGGGCGCGACGGGCCCTGCCGAGCCTGATTCAACGTGTTTTTGGCTGCCATCCCTGCGCCACTTTTTTTTTTTTTTTTTTTTTGTTGTTTTTTTTTTTTTGGTTTGTTTTCAGGGATGGGTAATTTTGCGTGAGTCTTGGGTTTCCGCGCGGTTCCCTCTCGTCTTTTAGCTTGCCGCCTTGTGGGTCCTGTGGGACGTGTGAGACTTGTGCCCCTGTGGGACTTGTGCGACTTGTGGGGCCTGCGAGACATGCGGGACCTGGGCGACTTGTGGGGTCAGTGGGTTTTGCGGGACCTGTGCGACCTGTGCGACCTGCGAGACTTGTGGGAGCTGTGGGGCCTGTGAGACCTGTGAGACCTGTGCAAAACGCCAGCCATATTAGCACCTGCGAGAGACCTGCGGGCCTTGCCGGTCCTGTAGGGCCTGCGGGGCCCGTGGGGCCTGTGCGACCTGTGGCACCTGTGGGGCTTGTGGGGCCTTGGGACCTGTGAGACTCGTGGGGCCTGCGAGACCTGTGGGGCCTGTGAGAGTTGTGCGACCTGTGTGGCCTGGGGCATCTGTGGGGCTGGCGAGCCCCGTGGGACCTGTGAGGTCGTCCAAGGAACCGTGTTGACGATCCGACGTGGGCCGGGTTCTATCATGTAAATTCACGCACGGGGCGCAGTTCTGGTTGCCCGGCAATCCCCCTCAACGATCGGGCGGGTGCGAGTTTAGCGTGTAAATTCAAACGCAGGACGCACTTCGCGTGAAGTGGCGTGTGCGATGGCATGTATCAGGGGCCGCGCGCTTCCCATTCCATCTGCCCGAGCGGCAGAGGTTGCCCACGATGTAAGGCAAGTGCCGCCAGAGCGATTGGAGCGCGCCCCAACGGGTTCGACGTCCACGCAGCCGGGGGAAACAGTCATAACAAAATCAACGCGACGATCGTCGTGAATGATCTGCAGGCTGCAACGCCCACAGAGGATCATTAAGTGTTGTTCGTCTTTCAATGTTCGCAGCGTTCGCAGGCGTTCACCGCGGCCCAGGTCAGTGACGTGCCGCGCTTTGGCTTGCGCGCCCAGCGGCGACAGCGGGAGGCGGGCGCCACTTATTGCCCGGGTGCTCTTCCAAGTGGGCCCTTCGCAGGGCCGCCGGCTTGGGCGGTTCCACGTTTTGCCTTGCGGTTTCGTTCCCGCCAGTCGGATGGCTGACGTGCAGCGCGCAATGCAGGCGATACGCTTTTCCGTGACATTGACAGGCGGATGTCACTTGATGCGGCTGGCCCTGCCTGGTCTGATACAAATGTTTTCGGCTTCCATCCCTGCGCCACTTCTGTTGCGCATTTTTCACGGGGATGTATTCATGGGCATTTTCGTGAACGGCTGCAGCCGGTGTCCAAGATGAAATGTCCCATCGCGTGCTGCGACGCGCGTGGGTGCCAGGTCGGATCAGGCATTCAGACGCACGAGTGGTGACTTTTGCAGTTGCAGAAGGTCATGGACAAGAAGAGACATTGGTGCAATCTTGATTGTCGTGAGAGATCTTCAATGGAAGAGGCAATCCCGGCCTCGAAACTGCCGCCCCAGGCCCGGCCAGTCCGCAGAAGTTGGGGAATCCCGCACGTAGAATGAAGGGTGGGGAGCTGCAGAAAGACGTTCCATGCAGTGTCCGCGCAAGAAGCAGGGGTGCCCATTTGA